ACATATTTGAACCTTGTCCAAAAGTGACCTGACAAAGGGTCCCACAGTTTGCTATGCCATCCATGAAGGCAGTCAATGTGGGTGGCTTGGGACTTCCCATCCCAGTCCTGGAACCCTGAGCCAAACTCTCTGTCCTATACCCCTAAAATGCAATAGCAGCCCACCACAGTCCTGGAACTCTGAGCCAAACTCTCTGTCCTATACCCCTAAAATGCAATAGCAGCCCACCAAAGGTCCTGGGTGATTCATCTCTGACGTTCTAGGGTAGGGACTATACCAGTGAGGACTTTGTAGGTTGTTTAGCTGATCTGGAAGTGGGAGCACCCTGCACTACCCCCAGTTCTGACCATCCGAACTGCCTCCAGACCTTGTTGTGGTGCAGAAGGGAACATGGAGGGAAACTACCCCAGCCAGGAGCACCTACCCACGTGGGGATTCCATTTCTGGAGACGATGGCCTCTCTCCATAACCCTCTTCCCTCTACTTCTTTTTCCTTCCCTGCTTTTGACTCCTAACGCCTGTCCTTCCTTCAGTGCACCTGCCTGTATTCTGTACCTCCTGCTCCACAGAGTGCTCTCACAGGGCAGGAACGCATTTAATTACAATATACACCCCCAGCAGAGAGAGTGGGGGGGGAGTGTCTATGTCTTTGTGTGTAATTTCTTTAATGAATTAGTGAGTGAATTATCTTTGACTTCTGGTTAGTAAGCAACCTTCTAGAACAGCCTTCTGCCACTAGCCACCCAGTGTCCTGAGTGCCGTCTGAGACGGGAGAACTCCCTGGCTGCTGTCTGGAGCAGGAACAGTCTGCCATAGTGTTTACATACCTGACACACACTCTGTCCCCATAGGACTGTCCCAGGAGAACTAGACTAGAAAGATTATTTTTAAAATACAGTTCTGGGGGCTGGAGAGATGACTCAGCAGTTAAGAGCACTGGCTGCTCTTCCAGAGGACCCAGGTTCAATTTCCAGCACCTGCATGGCGGCTAAGAACAGTCCTTAACTCCAGTTCCAGGGGAATCCAACGCCCTCTTCTGACCTCCACAGCATTGTACAACATGGGTACACTCACATACATGCAGGCAATACACTTGTACACATAAAAAGTAATAATAATAAAACAGTTCTGACCAGGGTAAGCCCACCTTTGCACTCTTCTGTGCTCCCTCATTGCCTCAAAACCAAATTCAATCTCTTTTGGTGGCACATCACACAGGGGTCTTCATATTTGGCCTTGCCTGTTCATAACTGGGCCCCTCTTCCCTCCCATCTCAGGAGCCTCTCCCCCCTGCCCCCCACCCTACCAGAGGGGCTCCATAACTCCACCTCCATCTATGCTGAGAATATCTTCTTGCTGGTCAGGCACAGTTCAGCCCTGTTCAGATGGTACCTTTGTATCCTGTAGAGAGTCTCCCATCCTCCCAGTGCCAGGATGGTCCAAGATCCTCCCAAGAGGAGACACTTTCCCAGCCTTGTGGAAGCCATATGCAACTCACTACACAGCAACAGAGCCTAATCTAGGCCTGCTATATGCCGGGTCTCAATGCTGTACACATTTACCAGACATGTGTCCCCTGGCCATCCATTCCACAGTCCTAGCCCCCTCAAGATTTGCTTAAAGGTTGTCTTAGTTTGTTCTTCATTGCTGTGACAAAACACTCTGACCACTACCAACTTGGGGAGGAAAGGGTTTATTTGTCGTACAACTCCCAGGTCACAGTTCATCAGGGAGCCCAAGGTAGGAACTCAGGGCAGGAACCTGGAGGCAGGAGCTGGAGCACAGGCCATGGA